CATGTAGAGATGCTTATCTAAGAAAGATTTCCAGAGCTGTATATTGCTAAGACTGTGAGAGAAGGTTGACTTTCCTAGAGTGTCAAACCCAGGCCTCCAGCATCAATGACGAGCGCCCTGACCACTGTCCCAATAAGGGATATCTGTAAGGCATGTGCTTATTGGGCCAATATAGTTAGGCCTTGTCCAGAAGAAACCCTAAACCCTCCTCCCTAGGCACTTGTGTAGATCTGAAACAACTTGATAGGTGTAAGCAATAGGGTGAATGCACTTTGAAGTAAATTTCAGCTCTGTTGGATCATAGTGATTCAGGAGTATCATTAAAACAGGTTAATATGCACCACCTACATTAGACAACTATACAGACCTTCAATTGCCTAAATTAGTAAATAAAATCAATGATGAGAATAGTACGATTAATAGATACCAGACACTGACATGGTGGCGTAGCAGGAAGACCAGATTACTGTGAACCAAGAGGTTCTGAGGACATGTTTAATAACAATTACTGTATAAATTAACTTGCACAATGTTATCATGTATGTCACATATGTAAGGTAAAAGCACTGTGTGTTAGTATCCCTTGCCAAAAGACAAAGAGCTATGAATGGATCAGTGGTTCACCAATCAGGGCCTGGATTGGCTAGGCAACAGTAACAAGAAGTGATGTGTAATTAATTTTTATTTGGACAACGTGTCTAGAGCATTAATATCTTATGTTCTGAGAACATGGCAATCATGTTCTGTGTAGGTTTGGTGAAACGTTGATGGAATATTCTCCTTACACACAGAAATGTTCTTGCAAAGTTCTCATGAAACATGTCTAGAACATTAATCTTATATTTTGATAACATTGCAACCATGTTCTGTGTATGTTTGGTGGAATTTTCTCCTAACTCTCCGAAAACTGGACACATTAATGTTGTTTGAACGTCCCATAAAACGTTCTGAGAACATGGTATGTTCTGCTTGACATTAAGGGAATATTCTCCTAACTTTAACACCAAAACATGCTAAAAAGGTTCTCAGAAGGTGTATGTTAACATAGATATAATGTTCCCCTAACAGAAAACTGGACACTCAAAACATTGGGGGAACATTACGGGTAACATTACAAAAACATTCTCACTCCCTAGAATTGTTAGCTGGGAAGACACTAGCTGCCTCTAGGCATTTTTTTTTTATCACATAGGCTACAATATCTGGGATGAGAAACAGAGTTTGATGTTTTATTCACCAATTGTCTTTTTCTCCATTAACAGTCAATCATGAAGGTCTTAGTGGTGCTTGCGCTTGCTGTTTTCACTGGTGAGTGAAAAATGTTTTCATTGTTGAACACCTGACTAGTGTTTGTATTTTTTGAAAGGAAGCACACTTATAATACTAACTGTAACAGTAATGTAATATCAACGAAAGGAGTAAATGTATCATCTCAAAAACCCTCCAGTCTAGACTGAACATTTTATAATCTTCAGTCTCTCCTACAGGGTGCAATACTTATGTTCTGTGGCAGGACCAGTCTAAGCAGATCAGACAGAGGTGGCACACAGTCAATATGTAGAAACTAACACAATATAATGTAGTTTGATAACTGTTGAGTAACAATCCACTTGTTTGTTAACCTTGTCACTTGGCCTCTGTACTGACCTTTCTCTCGGTCTCCATAGCACCATGGTCTCTGAGAGTGCCCATGCTGTGAACCAGTACACTGTGGCCAGGTGACTCCTCTGACTCAGGACCTGCTGGCAAAGCTTTCCACAGGAGGCCAAACAACTGAAGGCTCGTCTGGAGAAGGAACTGGCTGAAGGCCAGTGCTCCAGAAGAGTGAGGAGCTGAAAGGGAAGCCTGGAGAAGAGTATGTAGCAGCTGCAGGCCCAGCTGGGCCCCTACACTGAGCTGAAGCAGAAGTGACCAGAACCTGGAGGAGTTCCAGAAGAGCATGATTCCCCTGACCCAGAGCTCCCAAACTGAGCTGACTCAGAGAACCCAGGAGCTCCAGCAGAATCTGGGCCCATATGGAGAGGACCTGAAGGCCCAACTGACACCAAGAAGAGCCAGTAATCAAACTGATTTTACTTGGTCTACTAGAACTGTGTACTGATTAATCATTTTCCATCAAAGTCCAAAAGGTGCAATATGTACAGTACACTGACCAAGTGAGTATTGTCTGTCTCATACATGCATAATAAACACACAGTCTCTGTTTCAACGGTTAAATACTCAGCCTAATGCAATAACATAATCAACATTAAAATAGTATTATCATATTTATGTTATATCAAATTTATAACACTGAACAAAAAAAACACAATACGCAACAATTTCAAAGATTTTATTGAGTTATAGTTCATATAAGGAAATCAGTCAATTGAAATAAATTCATTAGGCCGTAATCTATAGATTTCACGACTGGGAATACAGATTTGAATCTGTTGGTCACAGAAACCTTAAAAAAAAAAAAAGTAGAGGCGTGGATCAGAAAACCGGTCAGTATCTGGTGTGACCACCATTTGCCTGTGGAATGATGTCCCACTCCTTTTCAATGGCTGTGTGAAGTTGCTGGATATTGGCGGGAACTGGAACATGCTGTTGTACATGTCGACCCAGAGCATCCCAAACATGCTCAATGGGTGACATGTCTGGTGACCATTCAGGCCATGGAAACTGGGACATTTTCAGCTTCCAGGAATTGTGTACAGATCCTTGGAACATGGGGCCGTGCATTATCATGCTGAAACATGGTGTTAACGGCGGATGAATGGCATGACAATAGGCCTCAGGATCTCGTCACGGTATCTCTATGCATTCAAATTGCCAGCGATAAAATGCAATTGTGTTTGTTGTCCGTAGCTTATGCCTGCCCCACCGCCACCACTGGGCACGCTGTTCACAATGTTGACATTAGAAAACTGCTCAACCCACACAACGCCATACACGTGGTCTGCGGTTGTGAGGGCGGATGGACGTACTGCCAAATACTCTAAAATGATAGAGGTGGCTTATGGTAGAGAAATTAACATTAAATTATCTGGAAACGCTCTGGTGGACATTCCTGCCGTTAGCATGCCAATTGCACACTCCCTCAAAACTTGAGACATCTGTGGCATTGTGTTGTGACAAAACTGCACATTTTAGAGTGGCCTTTTATTGTCCCCAGCACAAGGTGCACCTGTGTAATGATCATGCTGTTTAATCAGCTTCTTGATATGCCACACCTGTCACGGACAGATTATCTTGGCAAAGGAGAAATGCTCACCAACAGGGATGTAAACAAATTTGTGCACATATTGAGAGAAATACACTTTTGTGCGTATGGAACATTTCTGGGATCTTTTATTTCAGCTCATGAAACATGGGATGAACACTTTCCATGTTGCGCTTATATTTTTGTTCTGTGTAAATGTATGTACCACTATTGTTGTTTCCCTGTATCAGTTATCGGACTCTATCTCCTGACCAATATCTACATGCGACTCAGGACTATATTACAGAAGCTGTTATAAAACAAAATGCAGGATTCTATCAACAATAGAATAATCACATCTACTGTTGCCCTCTTGAGAAGGGTCTCAATTTCTTCAAGCAAACTTTCTTACATCTCAGCATATTTATTTGTCAGTATTATCATGTGTGATTTAAAATCAATGAAACTCATGAGCAGCATTCAGCTTCTTTTCATCAATTGAAACAATTAAATCAAATCAATACAGGCTCCGTCAACTATGAGTAGGGAATTTGAAGCAATAAGAAACAAAACCAATTCTCTCCATATTTTGTAATAAATGGCACTCAGCCTTTCCCAATAGATATAAACAGGTAATATATACGGTTTCATATGTACCATTGAAAAAGATTTGCCCGCCCTCTGCCTCCCCAACCCAAAAAGAAAAGATGAGCACAGACAAAATAAATAAAAACGAACAGAGCAAAACAAACAAAAGTACTGTAATTTGATAGTTTCCTAACAACAAACGTGTTTTACTGAGTTCTCCTTTAGTGCTGTCTGTCTGCTATGTTGGTCTCTGTACATTAGTCTCTGAAGTAAATTATATGACCATCGTCCAATCTCATCACCACATCGTCCTCAATCTCTGACCCATGCATCTTTGTTTAACCTTTCAATTATTATACACTACATTACCAAAAGTATGTGGACACCTGCTCGTCAAACATCTCATTCCAAAATCATGGGCATTAATATGGAGTTGGTCTCCCCTTTGCTGCTATAACAGCCTCCACTCTTCTAGGAAGGCTTTCCACTAAACATTGCTGCGGGGACTTGCTTCCATTCAGCCACAACAGCATTAGTGAGGTCTGGCATTGATGTTGGGCGATTAGGCCTGGCTCGCAGTCAGTGTTCCAATTCATCCCAAAGGTGTACGATGGGGTTGAGGTCAGGACTCGTCTAGAATGTCATTGTATGCTGTAGCGTTAAGATTTCCCTTCACTGGAACTAAGGGGCCTAGCCCTAACCATGAAAAACAGCCCCAGATCATTATTTCTCCTTCACCAAACTTTACAATTGGCACTATGCATTCAGGCAGGTAGTGTTCTTTTGGCATCTGCAAAACCCAGATTCGTCCGTTGGACTGCCAGATGGTGAAGCGTGATTCAACACTCCAGAGAATGCATTTCCAAATGTGATGTCCTATGACGGTGCCACGTTGAATGTCACTGAGCTCTTCAGTAAGGCCATTCTAATGCCAATCTGTCTATAGAGAGTGCATGGCTGTGTGCTCGATTTTATACACCTGTCAGCAACGGGTGTGGCTGAAATAGCCGAATCCACTCATTTGAAGGGGTGTCCACATACTTTTTACACATTATTTAGGAAATATGATCTTTTGAAACCAACAACAACAATGAACTTCTTAGTAGTCAGATGGGGACACATTTAAGTGATGTGAGACTCAGTGGTGAGTCCAGGTTGTCTGTCCATTGTCTGTTTGTCTGTCTTTTCTGTGAAGATCACCTATAGGCTTTCCCCCACTCTGGTAAGTCTAACCGATGGTGATGCCAAAACCACATTGGAACTTGTTCTTCTTGTGGTTGAGGAAGGACCCCAGGACCAAAGAAAGAGGCAGAGGAAGCAGCTTCTTCTCTAGTGTGGCCCCCACCACCCAATTACTATCTATGGAGCCTGGAATATTGGGGAGAGAAACAGAAAATTGGATAACAGTGCCTTCAGAAAATATTCATAACCGTTGACTTATTCCACATTTTGTTCTGTTAATGCCCTAATTCAAAAAAAAAATATGTTTTTCTCACCCATCTACACACAATACCCCATAATGACAACATGAAAACATGTTTTTAGAAAATGTTGCACATTTATTGAAAATGAAATACAGAAATCGAATTTACATAAGTATTCACACACCTTTGCTATGACGCTCCAAATTGAGCTCAGGTGCATTCAATTTCCCTTGAGATGCCACTACAACTTGATTGGAGTCCACCTGTGGCCAATTCAATTGTTTGGACATGATTTAGAAAGAAACATACCGGTCTATATAAGGTCCGACAGTTGACAGTGAATGTCAAAGCAGAAACTATACCATTAAGTCCAAGGACCTGTCCGTAGATATCCGAGATAGAATTGTGATGAGGCATATATCTGGGGAAGGGTATAAATAATTTCTAGAGGGTTGAAAGTTTCCAAGAGCACAGTGGTCTCCATCATTGGGAAATTGAAAAAAATATGGAACTACCCAGACTCTGCCTAGAGCAGGTCGTCCGACCAAACTGAGGAGCCGGGCAAGAAGGACCTTGGTCAGAGAGGTGACCAAGAACCCAATGACCACTCTGACAGAACTACAGAGTTCCTTAGCTGAGATGGGAGAATATGCCAGAAGGACAACAGTCTCTACAGCACTTCACCAATCTGGCCTTTCTAGGAGAGTGGCCGGACAGAAGCCACTCCTGAGAGAAGACAGAGCATAAGGCAAAATATTCTGTGGTCTGATGAGACAAACATTTAACTATTTGGCCTGAATGCAAAGCGATACGTCTGGAGAAAACCAGGTACAGCTCATCACCCGTCTAACACCATGGTGGTGGCAGCATCATGCTATGGGGATGCTTTTCAGCGGCAGGGACTGGGAGACTTGTAAGGATAGTGGGAACAATGAATGGAGCCAAATACAGGAAAATCCTTAACAAGCTTCAGAGTTCAAACGACCTTCGACTTGGGCGAAGATTTACATTCCAACAGGACAATGACCCCAAACATACAGCCAAAGCAATGCTGGAATGGCTTCAGAACAAGAATGTGAAAGTCCTTGAGTGGCCCAGCCAAAGCCCAGACTTGAATCCTACTAAAAATCTGTGGGAAGACTTGAAGATTGCTGTTCACTGCCGCTCAGCATCTAACTTAACAGAGCTTTAGGAAATCTGCCAGGAAGAATGGGAGAAAATCCCCAAATCCAGATGTGCAAAGCTGATACAGACATACCCTGGACAACTCAAAGCTGTAATCACCGCCAAAGGTGCTTCTACAAAGTATTGACTCAGGGGTCTGAATACCTATGTAAATGAGATATTTACGTTTTTTTCACTTTGTCATTATGGGGTATTGTGTGTAGATGGGTGAGAAAGAAAATAAATGTAATCCATTCTGAATTCAGGCTGTATCACAACAAAATGTGGATAAGTCAAGGGGTATGAATACTTTGAAGGAACTGTATATGAAAATACAAAATAGCGAACAATGTAACAAAAAGCTAATATGCAGGTATATACAGTGAGGAAAAAAAGTATTTGATCCCCTGCTGATTTTGTATGTTTGCCCACTGACAAAGACATGATCAGTCTACAATTTTAATGGTAGGTTTATGTGAACAGTGAGAGACAGAATAACAAACAAAAAAAATCCTGAAAAACGCATGTCAAAAATGTTATGAATTGATTTGCATTTTAATGGAGGGAAATAAGTATTTGACCCCTCTGCAAAACATGACTTCGAGGCTGACGTTTGGCAACTCGAACCTTCAGCTTCCTCCACAGATTTTCTATAGGATTAAGGTCTGGAGACTGGCTAGGCCACTCCAGGACCTTAATGTGCTTCTTCTTGAGCCACTCCTTTGTTGCCTTGGCCATGTGTTTTGGGTCATTTTCATGCTGGAATACCCATCCACGACCCATTTTCAATGCCCTGGCTGAGGGAAGGAGGTTCTCACCCAAGATTTGACGGTACATGGCCCCGTCCATCGTCCCTTTGATGCGGTGAAGTTGTCCTGTACCCTTAGCAGAAAACACCCCCAAAGCATAATGTTTCCACCTCCATGTTTGACGGTGAGGATGGTGTTCTTGGGGTCATAGGCAGCATTCCTCCTCCAAACACGGCGAGTTGAGTTGATGCCAAAGAGCTCCATTTTGGTCTCATCTGACCACAACACTTTCACCCAGTTCTCCTCTGAATCATTCAGATGTTCATTGGCAAACTTCAGACGGCCCTGTATATGTGCTTTCTTGAGCAGGGGGACCTTGCGGGCGCTGCAGGATTTCAGTCCTTCACGGCGTAGTGTGTTACCAATTGTTTTCTTGGTGACTATGGTCCCAGCTGCCTTGAGATCATTGACAAGATCCTCCCGTGTAGTTCTGGGCTGATTCCTTACCATTCTCATGATCATTGCAACTCCACGAGGTGAGATCTTGCATGGAGCCCCAGGCCGAGGGAGATTGACAGTTCTTTTGTGTTTCTTCCATTTGTGAATAATCGCACCAACTGTTGACACCTTCTCACCAAGCTGCTTGGCGATGGTCTTGTAGCCCATTCCAGCCTTGTGTAGGTCTACAATCTTGTCCCTGACATCCTTGGAGAGCTCTTTGGTCTTGGTCATGGTGGAGAATTTGGAATCTGATTGATTGCTTCTGTGGACAGGTGTCTTTTATACAGGTAACAAACTGAGATTAGGAGCACTCCCTTTAAGAGTGTGCTCCTAATCTCAGCTCATTACCTGTATAAAAGACACCTGGGAGCCAGAAATCTTTCTGATTGAGAGGGGGTCAAATACTTATTTCCCTCATTAAAATGCAAATCAATTTATAACATTTTTGACATGCGTTTTTCTGGATTTTTTTGTTGTTATTCTGTCTCTCACTGTTCAAATAAACCTACCATTAAAATTATAGACTGATCATTTCTTTGTCAGTGGGCAAACGTACAAAATCAGCAGGGGATCAAATACTTTTTTCCCTCACTGTACATAGACTTCAAAATCAGTGTCCATACAAGCGGAAGCCATACCTTTGAAGAGCAAATTGGCTTTAGGCACATCTAGCTGGTAGCCAAATGATACACTGGTCTCCTGCATACGGGTGCTAGCCTCAAACTCAACACCCACTTGCAACTGTGGGAGAAAAATATGGGTGATAGAGCTGAACCGACACTAACCAACACATTGAGAAAAAGTCACAGATACAGAAAGGAAACAATGGAATTGAGCAATACCGTGTCATTGGCTTTGTGGTAGTAGGAGGCATGTGCCCCTGCTCCCCCTAGTGTCAATGTGGCAATGAAGTTACTGCCTGAAATAGCAAGAAACACAGGTTTTTAAAACATTAGTGTAATACACATATCTACTATGGAAAAATATAAGTGAGTGGACTATTGCTGCATTATACAACAACTGCACCTTAAAAAATTACATGGTTGTAGAGGAGCGTCGAATTAACACATCCACGCCAGATGTCAACTACAATAAGAACACACAAGGACCTATTCAGTGGCCAGAGAACAAAGGAAGATGAGCAAAAGAGGGGAAGGACAACTCCTGCTGAGTGGCCCCCTCTAGTGTACATCAAAGCTTCTAACAGCAAAAAGGCTGGCAGGTTTGAACCAAAGGGCACCCAGATTTCTGCCAGAGACATGGAAACAACAGGGTTCTGACGAAGAGTGACAATGTCTCAGCCAAGGAACTTCGCCAATGGAGAATATTATACTACATGCAAAAGTGCCTAAAACTTTTATTTCCTCAAGGAAACAGTGTAAACGGACTGAAAATGACATAGTTAAATGTGTTGATGTGTGTGTGATAAGATAGAATTTTAGAATGTGTGTGATATGTTCTGGTATTATACTTATTCGTCCACAAAAAGCATACTGTTTGATATCTGTGCGATCACCAGTCACGATCACCAGTTCAATTCCCACAGGGGGTATGATTTTTTTAAAATGTATGCACTAACTGTAAGTCGCTCTGGATAAGAGCGTCTGCTAAAATGACTAAAATGTCAAATGTAAATGGTATTCACACAGGCGGTGGAAGAATACCCTCCATTTATGTGAACAATTGATTAATTAATGACCTGGCATACAGTGCATTCAGAAAATGTTCAGACCCCTTCCCTTTTCCCACATTTTGTTAGGTTACAGCCCTATTCTAAAATTGATCAAATCTATTTTTTCCCTCAATCTACATACAATACCCCATAACGACAAAGCGAAAACATGCAGATTTGTTTTGCACATTTATTTAAAATAAAACCCTGAAATACCTTATTTACATAAGTACTCAGACCCTTTGTTATGAGACTCGAAATTAAGCTCAGGTGCATCCTGTTTCCATTGATCATCCTTGAGATGTTTCTACAACTTGATTGGAGTCCACCTGTGGTAAATTCAATTGATTGGACATGATTTGGAAAGGCACACACCTGTCTATAACGGTCCCACAGTTGACAGTGCATGTCAGAGCAAAAACCAAGCCATGAGGTCAAAGGAATTGTGCGTAGAGCTCTGAGACAGGACTGTGTCGAGGCACAGATCTGGGGAAGAATATCAAAACATGTCTGCAACATTGAAGGTCCCCAAAAACACAGTGGCTTCCATCATTCTTAAATGGAAGAAGTTTGGAACCACCAACACTCTTCCTAGAGCCTGCTGCCCGGTCAAACTGAGCAATCGGGGAAGAAGGGCCTTGGTCAGGGAGGTGACCAAGAACCCAATGGTCACTGACAGAGCTCCAGAGTTCCTCTGTCGAGATGGGAGAATCTTCCAGAAGTCACGTCTGGAGGAAACCTGGCACCATCCCTACGGTGAAGCATGGTGGTGGCAGCATCATGCTGTGGAATGTTTTTCAGTGGCAGGGACTGGGAGACTAGTCAGGATCGAGGGAAAGATGAACGGAGCAAAGTACAGAGAGATCCTTGATGAAAACCTTCTCCAGAGCGCTCAGGACCTCAGACTGGGGCGAAGGGTCACCTTCCAACAGGACAACGACCCTAAGCACACAGCCAAGACAATGCAGGAGTGGCTTCGGGACAAGTATCCGAATGTCCTTGAGTGACCCAGCCAGAGCCCGGACTTGAACCCGATCTAACATCTCTGGAGAGACCTGAAAATAGCTGTGCAGAGACACTCCCCATCCAACCTGACAGAGCTTGAGAGGATCTGCAGAGAAATGGGAGAAACTCCCCAAGTACAGGTGTGCCAAGCTTGTAGCGCCATACTCAAGAAGACTCGAGGTTGTAATCTCTGCCAAATGTGCTTCAACAAAGTATTGAGTAAAGGGTCTGAATACTTATGTAAATGTAATATTTCTTTTTTTTATTACATTTGCAAAAATGTCTAAACCTGTTTTTGCTTTGTCATTATGGGGTACGTTGATGAGGATAAAAAACAATGTAAATCTATTTTAGAACAAGGCTGTAACGTAACAAAATATGGAAAATGTCAAGGGGTCTGAATACATTCAGAATGCACTGTAAGTCACAGGACAATGCAGGCGATGAATGGGGGCTGACCCAACCCCAGGAATTATTCCATCACCTAAGCCAATCACAGCGCTCCTGACGGGAGGGCTCACCTCTTCCTGTTCCGATGGCGACCAGCCATGATTGCAGTCTTACGAACCACAAAACAATCCAAGAACACCCCATGCGGGACCTTGTGGAATTCTCTGTGGCCTACTGAAATGCTTCGTTTTGGAGTCTGCTTGCATGGAGAGTTCTCTGAAGACTGTTCCAGACAGATGTGTAAGAGTTTTCCAGCTCAACCTCATCTTCTTTTCCCTGATTTGATGTGAGCGTGTAATCTGTAGGCTGTAATCTGTTACTTTATTATTGGCTATTTGTCTCCTATAGAAATACCAGGTATGTTTATTTTATATTTTAAATAAGTGTCTTTGAATCACATGCTGGAAATAGGTTAGACAAACTCCCTTATCATTTTCTTTTTTGCCTATAAAATTGCCATCAAAATCTCCACTATTCATTCATCCTGTACATTTATTGTTTTATCCTGGTTATTTCTAAATAAGTCCTTAGTTTTGTAAAGATATCTACTGTCTCCAAGAATGCATTGCCTTGTCATTTTAAGAACTTAATTGCCTTCAGAATTATACACTACCATTCAAAAGTTTGGGGTCACTTAGAAATGTCCTTGTTTTCCATGAAAACATACATGAAATGAATAGGAAATATAGCAAAATGCATAGGAAATGTAGTAAAGGTTAGAAATAATGATTTCTAATATAAATTGTGTCCTTCAAAACTTAGCTTTCGTCAAAAAAATCCTCCATTTGCAGCAATTACAGCCTTGCAGACCTTTGGCATTCTAGTTGTCAATTTGTTGAGGTAATCTGAAGATATTTCACCCCATGCTTCCTGAAGCACATCCCACAAGTTGGATTGGCTTGATGAGCATTTCTTACGTACCATACGGTCAAGCTGCTCCCACAACAGCTCAATAGGGTTGAGATCCAGTGACTGTGCTGGCCACTCCATTATAGACAGAATACCGGCTGACTGCTTCTTCCCTAAATAGTTCTTGCATAGTTTGGAGCTGCGCTTTGGGTCATTGTCCTGTTGTAGGAGGAAATTGGCTCCAATCAAGCGCCATCCACAGGGTATGGCATGGCGTTGCAAAATGGAGCGATAGCCTTCCTTCTTCAAGATCCCTTTTACCCTGTACAAATCTCCCACTTTATCACCACCAAAGAACCCCCAGACCATCACATTGCCTCCACCATGCTTGACAGATGGCATCAAGCACTCCTCCAGCATCTTTTCATTTGGTCTGCGTCTCACAAATGTTCTTCTTTGTGATCCGAACACCTCAAACTTCGATTCGTCTGTCCATAACACTTTTTTCCAATCTTCCTCTGTCCAGTGTCTGTGTTCTTTCGCCCATCTTAATCTTTTCTTTTTATTGGCCAGTCTGAGATATGGCTTTTTCTTTGTAACTCTGCCTAGAAGGTCAGCATCCCGGAGTCGACTCTTCACTGTTGACGTTGAGACTGGTGTTTTGCAGGTACTATTTAATGAAGCTGCCAGTTGAGGACATGTGAGGCGTCTGTTTCTCAAACTAGACACTAATGTATTTGTCCTCTTGCTCAGTTGTGCACCGGGGCCTCCCACTCGTCTTTCTATTCTGGTTAGAGCCAGTTTGCGCTGTTCTGTGAAGGGAGTAGTACACAGCGTTGTACGAGATCTTCAGTTTCTTGGCAATTTCTTGCATGGAATAGCCTTAATTTCTCAGAACAAGAATAGACTGACGAGTTTCAGAAGAAAGTTATTTGTTTCTGACCATTTTGAGCCTGTAATCGAACCCACAATTGCTGATGCTCCAGATAATCAACTAGTCAGTTTTCAGCTGTGCTAACATAATTGCAAAAGGGTTTTCTAATGATCAATTAGCCTTTTAAAACGATAAACTTAGATTAGCAAACACAACATGCCTTTGGAACACAGGACTGATGGTTGCTGATAATGGGCCTCTGTACACCTAGGTAGATATTCCATTAAAAATCAACCATTTCCAGCTAAAATAGCCATTTATAACATTAACAATGTCTACACTGTATTTCTGATCAATTTGATATTATTTTAATGGACAAAAAAATTGCTTTTCGTTCAAAAACGAGGACATTTCTAAGTGACCCCAAACTTTTGAACGGTAGTTTAAGTTGTTATAATTAACTATTTGATAGTTTCTTGCTGATTTATAGTTTAGAATACACATTAACTCCTGAAATCTAAGGGTGGCGCAGAGACTGGGTTGCTTCCATACTTCAGTGTGATTGTGGCCAATGCCTCACCCGTGTATCTGCCAGCTAGAGACATGACTGTGCCTTCCTCTCCTGGCCTGCGATGGTAAACCAGCTCCCCTCCGAAAGCCAGGGATGGGGTTATGGACTGGATGTAGTGCGCTACAATAATACCTGAATGATGAAGTAGTAAGGGAAAAAGAGGGAAGACGATAAGCTTAAGATAAAGTTACAGTAGGTGGTACATTTCAGTATTCCAAAATACCTCCATTCACAAAGCTTACCAGAGCCTACAAGGACATCTGGGTTGCCCAGGGTAACAGCAGCAGTAAAGTCCTCTCCCCGGACCTCACAATCTCCTTGCCAGTTCACAAACTTTTGCTGCTGCGTCTGATGGCAGGACACACATTGATAAACACGTCATCAATCAGTCTGATGTAGTAACTCAAATGGGCTATATACATTTCGGTGGCTTGGTGTAAGGTCCAGGCGTTGAAGCTCTACTTCAAAGTATTGTTTATTATCACCTAATTTCAACTGCCGAGGTTAATGGCAGACTAAACAAAAACTACCATAGAAAACCAAATATCTGTACCTGGAAGGCTAGTTTGGACCGGACTCTGTTGGAGATCTGGTGAATGACCTGGGCATTGAGGCTGCCGCTGTTGTCCATGTCTCCCACCATGACTGGGAAGGACTGCAGACAGAAAACAATAGTTACACAAAGTAAAGGTAAAACTTTTCTAGAATAAGCTAATTTCACAAATACCAGCAACAATAACCGTCCTGCATTTTGTAGGACTCTGTAATACAGTTGTCATTCTCATTCATAACTGGTAGTGTGTGAACTTGACCGTATAACAAATATACTTTGGGATTTTGGCAATGAGGCCCTTTATCTCCTTTCCCAGAGTGATGAACTCATGGATAACATTTTTATGGTAGCATGCTAGTAGATGCCCAGTCATTGCGCTAACACTAGTTAGCATTGGCTCATTAAACTACATACTGGACACAGCGACATAAAAATGGTATCCACGAGTTCATCTGACTCTGGGAAGTAGATATAGGGCCTCATTGCCAAAATCCCGAAGTATCCCTTTAAGCACTCAAATGAGGGGTGACAACTTTATATAGCTGTAGTGTGTACAGGGCTAATGTACCACAAACAAATCTTCAGGCTGTGGTATTAGCTAAGTGGCTCTGACTCACCTCTGCTGGACCCATTTGCTTAGTTCCCACATAGGTAGCACCAAACCTGTAACTGGAATCGCCTAGGGTGCTGAGCATTACCGTGTGATTCACCTGATGGGGTCGGTCAGAAAGGAGGGCAACAAGGTAGGTTTAGTCACAACAAAACAGGCCTTTCATGTTTCTGTCAGCAATGCTCCTCAAGCAAACATCTGTAAGTGTGTCGTGAAGTGTGTCGTATAAAATCAAAAGACAAAAGGGATGGCCAGTAGACAAAACAACCGTTTTGTTATGAGAAGCTTCCCAAGAGCTTAGTTGTTCACCTTATTTGGTTACGAGAGCAAGACCAGAACTAATCTTAACACAGTATTATCAAAGTTTCTAAACCCAGAGGCTCAACACCGCAAGACTTCAGGGAGCACTTGCGAAGCAGACTCGGCAGACCAGACCGGGGTTTGACACATTTTAATTTTCGTCAAAAACTACTTTATATCGAAGGAGCGCCTTTAATTTGACTGCCTGCCCATGCGCAGTTCGGCGCAAGACGACCGTTAGACCCGACTGCGTGTGTCTGTGCATGAACTTAGCTAGCCAACGTCGCCATGACATCCCCTACAAGCGTGATGGGGGATTTCTATTGGAGAAGCAGTTTCTACATATCTTCATACTAAAACATCTTTGGTATTATACTCGAAGTCTGAAAACTTAATGAAATAATTTGCCTAGCAGGAATGATGAAATGAGGCTCAGGACCTTCATAAGGCCATTCACAGCATCATTTTACCAGTAGAAAATACAGATGTAGTGACCTTTACTGACCTGGAAGTGATTACTCAGGCCCTTGTTAACGATTAGTCTTACACCCTCCATCTGCATGGGGAAAACCTCTGGAAAAACAGATAGAAAGGGGAACTGATTGAGATTAAGTGTAGGCCTACGACATGAAGACACTGAGAATCATTAAATGGACCGGTTAACCATTTTTAAAAAATGTAACTATGTTATACAGACACTTTGTTTTTTGCAATTTCACTTGGTTTTGAGAAACTAACCTCACTTCCTCATTCTGCAGTATGGGGACTCCAGAAAAACATGAACAAAAGTTCCAAAAACACACAATAGTGATGCAGGTCTTTAGATGATGTACACATTAAATTGTGCAATTCCAAACGTTATCCGCAACGTTATATTCCATATTGTGCGACTCGAGCGGTTTCCCCTACCAGCTGTGCTGCGCGGGCTACACGGAGAGGGAGCACAGCAGGTAAGGGAAACCGCTCAAGTCGCAAATATTTAATATGTTGCAGATAAAGTTCGGAATTACACAATTTCATCTGTACAACATCTAAAGACCTGCATCACTATACTGACAGCTTTAACATTTTTAAAAGGACAGGTTTGGGTGTTTTTGGAGTCTTTATTCGTGTTTTTCCAGAGCCGACATACTGCAGAATGAGCAATGAGGAAGTCTATTGTAGGTGCGGAAAGTTTTTCAAAACCAAGTGAAAAAGCATCAGATGCATATCAACCCGCAAGGTGCAGCAAACATATGCGTCAACACTTGATAAATAGTGCATAAACTATTGTAAAGGATTAATTGCATATAGAAATATATAATATAGAAATATTATATATAAAAAACTTTTGTTTAGATAGTCAAGGATGTTTTGTATAATTCTACAAAGTCCTAGAAAAAAAACATAGGCCTATAGCCTATTTTCGTTTCCCTTACAATAAAAACATTAGCGTAACCCATTTGACCAACTTTATTTGTAGATTCAATTAGTAATAGAGTTATAGTCATTAATAAAGTCCAGTTAGAGCTTCTTTTGACAAAGTAGAAAATATAATATAACCAGCCAGGTGCACAGGTGAAATTATTTGCTGTATTCCTAAACAAAAGCACCAGTGCATGAACAATTGTAAAGGATGAATTGTATAAATAAACATTTGTGGAAATATATTCATGACAAAATATAAAAACAGTAATTTGTTTATCGTATCAGACACTGTATTGTGCCCTTATGCGTGTGCCTTTATGCATGAATCAATCTCGTCTTCTCTTTATGCTTTGGTTCCACAGTCAGCACACAGTTTAGGGGATTTGTGTGAGCAAGCCGCACAAACAAATCGGTTGCACTGCACATAGTTTTCATGGGCCTTGTTGTGTACACCTGCTGCAGGTGTCGCATAATCTCTCTGAAGCGGTTGCGTGGCACGGTCTCTCAGAAAAGGTCCACCCCATACCTATCAGACCAAAATGACTCCACCATCCGTGCTCTTTCCGCCTTATGCCCGCGGACATACAAGAGTGCAATAAATGCTTAGAGTTAATCCATAGACATGTTCCACCCGTTTCCTTTTCTGTGCGCATGAGCAACAGTACAATCTCTGATGTGCTGCAACATCTACATGTCACATCAAATCGACACTAATTTCTACCCAAACCGTGCCATCCCTCCCAGACTCCCGTCTCACCGTGGCAGTTGGGATCACAGTCTCAGCTGATGTTCCGGTTTTTCTGTGGCGAGGCTCAGGCATCGGAGGCTTGAAGTCAACATCAGAATCAGGTGAAGATTCTTAAAATCAGCAACATCGATTTTAAGCGCAATATCTGATCCTCCATCCAACTCATCTAAATTCTGCACAATTTGCAATGCTGTCAGTGCGTCCATTCGTTTGGGTCGGCTTGCCATTGTGAACTAAACACATTGTATGTTGTACTCAGTGTCTGATTTTACTCTCTGAGGTGAAATGATATACCATTTCCAGCCTTTCATAATAAAATAGACCACCAACAACGCCTACAATTCTTTATCAAAATTACACTATTGTTCTAAATTCAGTCATCCTCTTCACCCTCATTATTCAGATCAATCAAATTCAATCACACTTCACCCTCATCATCATTCAGTTCATTTAAGTCACATGCACCATTATCAGTTTCTATCCGGTTTCTTTCACCCATTCATCAATTGACGACAGAATAGCATATTTAAATGTTACGTTTATTATGTTACTAGTTTTTGCTTAGTAGCCAGAGCAATGCTGAATTCCTGGAAAAAGTTGGAAATACAGCTGCACCTCTTGAATTAGGAGTTATTTGATAAAAGGTAAGTGTAATAGAAACTGCATAATATGCTCTTTCTGATACTAAATAGAAATAAAAATGTTTTACCTGCATGTGACTCTGAAGGAGGATTTGATAAAGTGATACTCCTTTCGCAGCATCTGTAAATTACAAGATGCGCCCATCTCTTCATGTACAATTTGATAGGCCTAATATTTGCACTCATCAGGTTATTGTCAATTTAAGCTTGTCTATAGGCTAACTCTTATTATGTGTGAAATTAGTTTAGGTGTAGTTTGGATGGGCCGGCTGTGCAGGCTGACCGGCATCGTTTGTTTCCAGCTCATGAAGTTGGATAGAGTCAAGCATATGTTTTGCATTATTCTAAAGGTCTACTGCAACACATAGCATACTTTTGTTTCCCTTACAATAAATGTGATTAGTAATAGTTACAGTAACTAACACAGTCCTGTAACAGCTTATTTTTACAAAGTAAAACGTAAAAGAGAATAGTATCAACCTGCAAGGCGCGCGGTCAAATTATTAACATGAATGCCAACGCTGATAAATAGGCATAACACAAACTCATTACACTATTGTTGTTCTAAAATAAATCAACCTCTTCACCCTCATCATTCAGTTAGGCCTAATTTAAATTTGATTGTGAAGTAACTTGCACAATTATCGCCCATTCCCTCCATTTGTCATTCATTCAGTGGGCTGGCATTGTTTGCTTTGCTGGATAGTCATGGATATGTTTTGCATTATTCTAAAGGACTACTGCAACATGTAGCATGTTTTCATTTCCCTTACAATACATATGATTAATAATAGAGTTATAGTAAATAAAACAGTCCATAACAGCTTATTTTTACAAAGTACAACGTAAGAGAATAGTATCAACCCCCAAGGCGCGGTCAAATTATTTGCTGCTGATAAATAGGCATATAACAAACTCATCATTACACTATTGTCTTCCTAAATTAAATCAACCTCTTTATAATTCAGTTAGGCCTAATTTAAAATGAAATGTGAAGTAAGGTGCACAATTATCGCCCATTCATCCATTTATCATTCATTCAGTGAGCAAAGAGACGCATTAGCGCCTGGCTGGGTACCAACATTCTACAGCACATTGGGAATTGGGAATAGGTGTGAAACAAACAGGTAAAAAGGCTCTAAATACTTTTCTGTTTGAGATTTCAAAATTCTGACAAATGAGCAGTGTCAAATACAAACATTTAGGAAAAGTCAGGGAAGGAGCAGGACATGTTTTTATTTACAAAATCAAACGTCAGTGGCCGCTGGCCTATGGCGGTTCTAGTGTTAAAGACACTACATTTGCACTATTCAATTCATAGATCTCATCTACATGGTGGAGGACTTTCTCTAGATATTTCATGGACTAATAATCTCTGTTTACCTTTGCACTTGCGGTGGCACTCCTCAAACGTGCCAGGGTTGGGCAGAGGGCCTTCTGCCTCCACCTGCTGACCGGGGGCCGCATTGCCTGAAGGCAGTACAGGTGATACTGGGGGCATTGAGAAGCCTGGGGGTACCGTCATCCCTGGGCCGCCAGGACTACCACCGGCAGGGGCCGGTGGCGGGTTGGGGGAGCTGGCAGCCAAAACACTGCCCATTCTGTGAGAGAATGAGATGAGAGGATGAGGCAGGGGTGGAGGATAGAGGTGATGGTTTTCATTAGAGTATGCTGGGTGTATTCAGTGACGGTTAGCTAACTCTGGGCAGTGGACCAGTAGGGGAGATTGAAAACTGGTACAGGAAGAGATGGGGCTGTTTCTCAAAAGAACAGCCAAGACAACCAGCAATGACAACAAAAGCGCACCACTTGTTTACATGAGAGCATAGATTACATTGTAGTATTCAATTTACAGAGGGAACACCTATAAGTTACAATTGTGGCCTAGCCATGAATGAGTTTGATAAAATATCCCCAATGATTGATTTGGTTCATTAGAGGTTTACATAAATAGCATGTATATTAGCTACATAGCTGGTTGGCACAGCTGGCATTTACATGATGGTCATCACTGAATGGGTAGCTCAAAAACCATGCCAGCAATTAAATGTTTCTTGTAGTAGTTAATGGTAGCTAACCCACTTTTGTACATCGCGCTGTTCCGTACATTTTACCTTATTTTACCCCAAAAACGTAATACTTCCAGGTCAACTGTGATTTTAATACCATTGTAAAGCACAATTGCTCCCCTTTCCAGCAAAATCAACGACGAGACCTTCATGCTGCCAGTCTCTGCATGATTGAAGAAAGTAATGGAGATCCGCGCCCGGTCTTTTTAAAAATGGCGGGTAGGGATGCGAAAGCAACTGCATCATAGTGAAAGGGGGAGATATGTCCTGTGGGGAACCGGCTTTTTTCACCCGATTAGTCCAACTTATTGCCTCTAAAATGTAAATAAAACACTATAATGAGTTTATATAATGTCTCATTACATACCTATTTGAAGGTTTGTGTCGAATTTGAATAGGGTTTTTAGGGGCGCGCTAAATTTATCTTCACAATTAAACTGGGTGTCACGGTTTTTGAGAGTCATGATGGCTCGCAGTTATTACGCGAAAAAATTAACAATTGATTAAATTAACTATTGATGAACGAATTAACTTCACACTCACCATTGATCATTTCTTGTTTTTAATCTGCGAGAGAAGCGCTACACCTGGTGGAGAGAGGCTGTATGGCACAGAATGAGTTGAATAATGAGTGCCGTACGTTACGCCGTGACATGTCACACTAACGTATAGCGTCAGCGGGGTCAGTTTTTTCAACTTTTCTCCAATACTATTGGTCCATTACCATGTTAATCAAGGCTGAATCGAAACTTAGTTCACACCCCAGATTTTGATGCCAACACAGTCGCTACAGTCCCATTAGTTTTCATTGCAGCCTCGTTTGAATGCCGCCGTCGCCCACATATGTATACCATCTCACCCAGTGCTATGGTGCTGAATTAATTGTTGCTATTTCTGGCTATTAGTACTGGTGTTGGCAGCCAGCGACAGCTAGCAAGTTAATTAATTCAATCGGCCAACCCATTAGCTGGTCTGCTGTAACTACTAGCTAGTTAATTAATGGTGTACGAGGGTATGTCGTACAACGACTTAGTTTAGCTAACTAGCTAGCTAGTAGCTAAGCTAATTAACGTTAGCTAGCTAGTTGCATTGGTTCTCCACATCTATCCTGATGTTCTTATAGAAAATACGGATGCCACAGCTTCTCGGAATAATTAAAAGCCCAATTCACAAGATCCTCAGCAACGCAAAAATTACAATCTTTTGGCTGTCTATTTTCAGTTAAACCACACTAAAATTGCTACTCACGTTGTGATTTCCTGAACACGATGAAACACCCGGCAGTAACGTAAGAAAACCTCAAACTGCGAGAGTCAAAGCTAAGACCCGCCTACTTACTTGAGGTAGCACTTGGATTGGGCAAATAAGCTCACTTCTGAACAACGTGTGGCAGAAATACATGTCAATCTCAGCGTAATCAACCAACATGGGCACCACTGAGGGATATAATAAGAAAACTCAAGCATGATAATTCGAAGGCGTGGTTTTGCTATTTCGACCACACCCCCACTTGTAGCCAATTGGTTATTATACGTTTCAGTCACAAGATAGCTGCAATAAGATTGGACAAATGCAATAACCGCCTTACCCAACCAATGCTTGCTGATAGATTGTTAAAAGGACGCCTTTTCTGATTTGGACAAGACAGCAAGGTTCTGAAGGGCTGAAGGTAGGGTCATCGCTGTTTGGAGGCTGCTGATTGGTGGACGAGGGGAGTCATTGAGGTTGGTTGCAGTTCAGGGATGTCAAAAAAAAAAGTGCTGCCTGTGAAGGTCAGTGACAGCATGAGGGTCTTGGGTCAAATTCATAAAAAAACTAATGCAGGACATTTGCTTTAAAACTGCAACATTCTCTCAACCTAATGGCAAATTGTGAACAAAAGCATAAGATGTGCTATAAAACAGCACTTATTTTTCCTACCCCATGGAAAAAAACAAGTGTAGAATTGCAGACAATTTGCTTTAAAACAGCAACATTTTATCTTAGCCTCATGACAAAACGTGTAGAAAATCTGCAGCATTGCGAAACGAGTGGACTTAACTTGCAACAATTCTCAACCACTAACAAACGCAACTGTGTTGTGTATATTTGCTTTGTGCTGACACACTTCCGTCAATATCTATTGAAGCTTTACCTTTCAGTTACACTAATGACCTGAGCAGTCGCTAACTTTACGTCGCTCTGGATAAGAGCATCTGCTTAATTTAAATGTAGAATGTAGGCCTACACACCTGAGTGCAGACAGCTATGTGTAAAAACATCACAAAAGCACACAACTTGGCATGTACACAAGCCTTCAAAGACAGCAACAATGAAAAACACCACACTTGCAATTTGAGTTCATTTTTATTACATTTTATAACCCCCTGCATTAATTCCAATGTCATTAAAGTACAGTTTAGGACAGTGATAGAAGTAGATAATTGAAGTACGCTTCTTGTATTGCTTGTGTTTCTAGGGTTACCGAGGGGGGTAATAAGCCAAATTGACATACAGTTGCATTTTAAATTTCAATATTGTAAGCAAATCAATGGTGCAACTTTACCCATCGACTTTCTCTATAATCAGATCAAGCATGCATGTATTCTCCAATTTAGTGGTGGACTACGGCTGTCTGATTTGTAAGACAAACTACCTAAAAGTTTCAGTGTTAAGACCTCCGTTTGTAATTCTCACTCTACATGGGGCTGAACAGTTTTGAAAATAACAAATGAGAAAGAAAAAGGAATAGCCACCAAGGTTTGTACATTCGCACATACAGTGCCTTCAGAAAGTGTTCACACCTCTTGATTTTTCTCATATTTTGTTGCGTTACATCATGATTTTAAAATTGATAAAATTTAGATTTTTGTTGGTCACTGGCCTACTACACACAATACTTTAAAATGTCAAAGTGGAATAAGGAATGTTTTTCTTTTTTTGGACAAATTAATTACAAATGTTTTGAGTCAATAAGTATTCAACCTAAATAAGTTCAGGAGTAAAAATGTGCTTAACAAGTCACATAATAAGTTTCATGGACTCACTGTGTGCAACAGTGTTTAACATGATTTTTGAATGACTACCTCATCCCTGTACTTCACACGTATATTTATCCTTAAGGTCCCTCAGTCGAGCTGTGAATTTCAAACACAGATTCAACCACAAAGACCAGGGAGGTTTTCCAATGCCTCTCAAAGAAGGGCACCTATTGGTAGATGGGTAAAAAAAAAAAAAAAGAAGCAGACACTGAATATCCCTTTGAGGATGGTGCTAAGCACAGGCAAAATCCTAGAGGAAAACCTGGTTCAGTCTGCTTTCCACCAGTCACTGGGAGATGAATTCACCTTTCAGCAGGACAATAACCTAAAACACAAGGCCAAATCTACACTGGAGAAACTTACCAAGAAGACAGTGAATGTCCCTGAGTGGCCAAGTTAAATTATTGACTTAAAATCTACTTGAAAATCTATGGCAAGACCTGATCAACAAAAATTTGACAGAGCTTGAAGATTTTTGAAAATAATAAATGGGTAAATGTTGCACAATCCAGGTGTGCAAAAGCTTAGAGACTTACCCAGAAAGGCTCACTGTTGTATTCGTTGCCAAAGGTGCTTAATTTTCAATACATTTGAAAACATTTCTAAAAACATGTTTTCACTTTGCCATTATGGGGTATTGTGTGTAGATGGGTGAGAAATAAATATATTTAACCCATTTTGAATTCAGGCTGTAACAACAAAATGTGGAATAAGTCAAGGGGTATGAATACTTTCTGAAGGCACTGTACAATAACTACAGAAAACACAGGACAACTGAATTCTGAAATGGCTTCTCCCCCCTTAATGACTACAGAAAATGTTTTACTCATCATACAAGGTATGTTGTATGTGACAAATTTAACCGTGGCTATGTTTAAAAATTCCAAACAAGTAATTTTGCAAATTAGAATTTCAGGACCAGTCATTCATCCAGGTTCCAGGAACAGAATACAAATAATTTTCTTTCCAGCTCTTGCAGAATTCAGTCTCTCAGTTTATTGAATGCAGAGTGTCGGCATGTAAGAGGAGTCTGCATTAGAGAAGCACAACACAGTCATGCATGCAATTCAGAATTTGTGCAACTGGAGATACATTTGAGGCTTTGCTGTATTAGCTCTATTGCAATTTGGGGATCAGGGGTATTCTGGCTTCAAAATTATTTGTACCAGTTTGTTTATTTTCTCCAAACCCCATGCTGCAATACCATAATTCCTGTTTGCTTAATTGCATTATACCCCAAACCCCTTTTACCTTTCCCCACCATATACCTTATAGGCTAGCTCTTACTCGTGTTCTTAAGAGTATGAACATGATTACCTTTTCCAAACATCTTGGAGTTACCAACAAGTGAACTTTCCCTCCCTCCCCCCCTCCCCCATTTGTACTCCTTCATTCACACACAGTCATAACTTGACTCAATGGCCAAGAGCGCGCACACACAGATACACACAGGATTAGACAGTTTATTAGGTACACTACACCGCTCACGAAAATGGTTAGCTCCTACAGACAGCGAGTCACGTGGCCGTGGCTTGCTATATATAGTAGGCAGAAAGGCATCGACACATTCAGTTACTGTTCAACTGAACGTTAGAATGGGCAAAATGAGTGACCTAAGCATCTGAGCGTGTTCTGATCGTCGGTGCCAGTCGCGCCGGTTCCAGTATTTCAGAAACGTCCGGCTTCCTGGGCTTTTCATGCACGACAGTGTCTAGGGTTTACCGAGAATGGTGTGACAAATAAAAAACATGCAGCCAGCGGCAGTCATGTTCGCGAAATCAGCTCGTTGATGAGAGGTCGATGGAGAATGGCAAGAATCATGCAAGCTAACAGGCGGGCCACAAACAGGCAAATAACGGCGCAGTACAACAGTGGTGTGCAGAATGGCATCTCGGAAAGCACAACTTGTCGATTCTTATCACGGATGGGCTATTGCAGCAGACGACCACACCGGGTTCCACTCCTATCACCTAAAAACAAGAAGCGGCTCCAGTGGGCACACGATCACCAACACTGGACAATTGAGGAGTGGAAAAACATTGCCTTGTCCGACGAATCCCGGTTCCTGTTGCGTCATGCTGATGGCAGAGTCAGGATTTGGCGTAAGCAGCATAAGTCCATGGCCCCTTCCTGCCTGGTGTCAACGTTACAGGCTGATGGCGGTGGTGTAATGGTATGGGGAATGTATTCCTGGCACACATTAGGTCCCAAAGAATTCAGGCTGTTCTGGAGGAAAAGGGGGGTCCGACCCGGTACTAGATGGGTGTACCTAATAAACTGAGTGTACAGACATTTACCCACTGACATAGACCGAATATTCCATCTCAACACTATTAACATTGCCTGTTTTCTAGTCCCCTTTGTGACCACTGATCGGAAAGAACAGCATATGAAGGGAATCTGAAGCAAACTCTGCCTTGGGCTAGTTTGGGGTTTACACTATATGGGCTAGTATTGACCTATTGTCTTTGCACGGTATGGGTCACGAAGTATACTAGAAAACAGGCCAGGGACAACAGCCATAAGGGTATTAAGATATTGTATGTCACTCACAGACAAGCAAGCACACATAAACATTCACAGTTGCATTCAGACATTCACATTTCAGCCAATTGAACACCCAACCAAACAATATTACAGAACAGCCATTCATATACAGACACACAGGCAATCACATCCATACCAACAAACAAATGAGACGGGACATTAACTTACTCTTAAAACACACCAACCAACCTTGTTTCTCACACACCAAGTTTCTCTCTATGACACACACACACAAACATATAAAACACTTACGGACAGTCACTCACGCAAAGCACACAAAATGCCATAACGTGACATTACAATTTTTTGGTTTCGATTCAATATAAATCCTGAAAGTCAGTATTTAAAATCAAACACATTTTCTTTTATTAGAAACTACCTCCACCATGAAGCAAATTCATATTTTTTTTGTTATTGTAAACGACTTGTGTAAATGACGAATCATTTACAAACCAATTACCTCAAAATGATACCAACCACCTTGTAAAAAGATTGCCCTAGCTAACCAGTATGACTGTGCTCAGGTAGCATTCTCTCCAGCACTTATAACAAGCAAACTAATCGTCAAAATATTATACTTTTTTTGTTCATTGGGAGACAAATGTGTTGAGTTTCAGATCTGTTGCAAACCATATTGGTTGGTCCACTGTTGTGCTGGAGTTCTTAAGTACCAGAGAGAGGAAAATATTGAAGATGCCTCAGCACCCAATATTGAAGACTAGGGGACTCGCAAACCCACACAACCCAGTGCCCCAAACCCCTGCGCTGCCCCCCTCCCTGCTTAGCAAGCATTGCCACAGATAATTTCAAAGAGAAGCAAAAAATATATATAACATATTTTTCTCTGCTCTCATCATCATCAGCTAAACATTTTTAGCGGGACCAAAAAAAAGATCACAGCTGCCAGTTTGAAGATGCTACAATTCGCTTTCAAATATAATTCTGATGTGAGCCAACCCACCCCACACACAAGAATAGTCCCTCAGCTTTTCACAATCATAACAAAACTGTATGAATGCCCCCCCAAAAGACTCAGGGTCTTCCCAACCTAATGAATAGCAGAGATAACAAATGAGAGTTCTGCCAAGTTCTCAGCTCTGTATGTATCATATCAAAATACCCTCCCTTCTCTCTTGGAGCCAGGGTGAGGAACATAACCCAAGAGCTCTGAGGATTTTAAAATAAAAGCTTGGTTCTTGTTACCTAGTTTTTAGTCTAAATATACTATATTTTGGCCTTGGCATGTACCATTGGGATGCACAGTACATATTGGCAGTTAATACATTCACAACACTTTGGAGATTACATTTTACATTTGAGTCATTTAGATTGATTCAAATTAGACCCTAACCCTAAGGACATACCCACAAAACTGGCCCAGTGTTACCAACATGAAATGTCTACCTCTAAAAAACATATTATATTACTTTGAGGGTCCCTCACATCGAGGAAGACAAAGCAGGTCTTAACAATATGTTGAACCATGTTGTTTTGTACAAAGAAAACTACAAGATTGCCTCTAGGGCAATTCAGGTGGATGTTAGTGGGCCTTTTTATGGAAGAATGTGTTTGTTTCCTTTGCTCCTCATATGTGTTATTTCGTAGTTTTGATGTCTTCACTATTATTCTACAATGTAGAAAATAGTAAAAATTAAGAAAAACCCTTGAATGATTAGGTGTGTCCAAACCTTTGACTGGTACTGTAGATATTTAGTGTAATTGTTGTTTATTGAGGTGTTCATGCAGGGCTCATATACGAAAGAGACAGTGGTTAAAAAGGTTTTAAAAAAGACGCCATGCTGATCGTAATCTCCAACAACACTCTGTGCGTCTTTCAGAAATTGGATGCATATGACTGAACAGATGGTCAATTCTACCAGTTCTTTCCATAGCTGCAGACATATGGGCCTATTTCCTATATAGTGCACTACTTTATGGGTCCTGGTCAAAAGTAGTGCACTTTACAGGGAATAGGGTGACATTTTGACCCATAATCACATTAACAACATTATGGGTGCCAGATCATGCGCCCCCACAACATCAGTATGAAAGCGCCGAAAATTGTTTCACTAGTAAAATGCAGCACAAGCTCAGTAATTGGATGCTACTGTGACTTGTGTTTTCATGAATTGCTCCTGTACTGGTCTGAGATCGTTTATACATAGGGGAATTCTTGTCCGGTGCTATATTAGTTTGATTGTTGGCTACCATCCACAGTTTTTACAATGAGCCCAGTCTTATCTTCTTTAAGTAGTCTTGTATCATATTTATATCTTATTCACACAATTGATTATTCATAGTGACTGGAAAACAGTCATGTTGCGTCTAAGTAAAAGCTGCCCTTTTTTATTGCAACATTTACATTAAAAGTACCTTCGCATTCTAGATGATGGCAGTCAGAGTTTGAGCCTTGGTTATTGAACATCTAGAACATTAACAAGATTCCCTAGAAGGAGTGCGCAACGAACGTTCTACTTGCATAATGGATATCTGAATCAACCAATGTTACAATTTAGCTTAATTGTGTTTTTATTCTGTCTGTTGTGTGAGAGAAAGACAGACTGATTAACTGATAAGAGCGCATTTGGGAGAGTAATTAAGGCACTTGAGTGACAAAAGGCGTGTGAATGTAAGCGGACAAGATGGCTAGTGTGAATGTCCATCTTGTCTCTACAATGGAGGAACACTGGTTTAAATGTTTGAGCGCTGTCGGGCCTTGCGTCCCTGGCAACCGCTTCGGTCCCGCCCACAAAGGGTAAAGAAAATTACTAACTCTGACCACTCATTTCAAGCTACGAAGCAAATGTAGTGAAATACTAGCAATTCAATACAACTGCATGAACGAAGGTGTTGTACCACTGTAAAAACATATGTTTGGTGGGTTTTGTATCTAGTGTGAGTGGGAACACTACCACAGGTGTTTGCATCTCCGTAATTTGAGATAAACTAAACATTTATTTTGTCTAGTGACATGCATGTCATGTATACCTAGGTAACTCTAGCTAGCTTGAGGCAAGGCACAAGCAGTGTCACTTTTCATCAGCAGAAATATTGTTGAAAAAAACATCACTGTGTGCAATTCAAAGACCTGAGCCATCGATAACAAATCAGGTTTGAATAACCTACCGTAAACATTTATTTTACGGTTGGGACGGACTGCGCCGCTGAAAGTGTACGTGACTCGAGCTGCTGAACTAGATAGCTGTTGATCATTTTGAACATGACCACTTTCAAGCAACCTAAAGCCATCAAGCTATGTAGCTATTTTCCAATACAGGCATTCGTTTGATAACCCAGCTAACTATTTACACTGAGTGTACAAAACATTAGGAACACCTGCTCTTTCCATGACAGACTGACCAGGTGAATCCAGGTGAGAGCTACTGTATGATCCCTTATTGGATGTCACCTTCAATCAGTGTAGATGAAGGGGAGGAGACGGGTTAAAGAATGACTTTTAAGCTTTGAGACAATTGAGACATGAATTGTGTATGTGTGCCATTCAGAGGATTAATTGGCAAGACAAACGATTTACGTGCCTTTGAACGGGGTATGGTACTAGATGCCAAGCGCACCAGTTTGAGTGTGTGAAGAACTGCAACGCTGCTGGGTTTGTCTCACTCAACAGTTTTCCGTGTGTATCAAGAATGGTCCAGCACCCAAAGGACATACCAGCCAACTCGACACAACTGTGGGAAGCATTGGAGTCAACATGGGCCAGAATACCTGTGGAACACTTTCGAAACACTTTCGAAAACTGACGATTTTAGGCTGTTCTGAGGGCAAAAGGGGGTGCAACGCAATATTAGGAAGGTGTCCCTAATGTTTTGTAAGCTCAGTGTATGTAGTACAGAAGAGACATTATTCAAGTCGAAGTTGGATATTAGTAGTGCTGTAGCAAAGGATTTATTATCTAACTATTTGTGAATTTATGAATACGTTTAAATCTAAAAATATAGCATCTTAATTCCAAGCAAAAATGCATGTAAGTGAATGAGCTTTCCAAGATCTGAAGCTTTCTTTACCCTTAGTGGTCGTTCCTAAGGTTAACAATAGGGCTCATGTCATTGTTGACAAAAACCTGTCTTCCTCCAAAGCTGGCCATAAAAGACATATTCAGCTGGAAACAATACAACTTGATCAATATTTTGCATGGTTCTTACTTTTTTTAAAGACAATGTTCCTCACCCATCTCTGAAGTTTTTCAGCTGATTATTACCTTGCAATACCAGGATACAATCAAAAAAACATTAACCTACATGTCTTAAGCCAAAAAAGGACTGATGGATCTCATTCAGTGTGCATTGGGCAAGTTACCATTCGTGCAAAACAACATGGTTAAGCCAATTTAAACCAAAAAATGCAGGAAGCTCTTAATGAAATAACAAGGGGGAATAAGAACAGAACATACAAATCAGCAAAAACTAAAATTGACCTTAACATCCATGTGCCAGGTTCTGAAGGTTGAGAAAAGACAAGTTGAAGAGGTGCCTGAAGCCTGTGTGCAAGAGCTGAATGTTGTGCAAAAGCCGGGTATGTCCTATTGTCCTGGATGGAAGATAAGGTGGCAAGGATTAAAAAGATGGGTCACACACTTTATGCACATCACAAGACTGGTGCCGAATTCGAAATATCCCTTATCCCCTTACTTGATAGATGTAAGAAATATGGTAATAGGGCCATCTTGCCTTCTAAAGAATTTACCATATTGCTTACACCTATCCGACCCTTTCAGATCTAAGTTAGGGTCGACCTAAAATATTAGGCATTCTCACTGGCATGTCAGACTGATGGGTATCATATGCATATATAAGCATTAAAGTACTGGGTCCATCTCGTCTTCTGAGGAATTTTCCATATTGCTAGACCGGCTCAGTAGCATGTCAGAGTGAATGACTCACCAGTTGAGGGGTTCTAGGGCTCCCCCTGTTGGCAGCCTGTCTCCTTCAACTCCTCCTCCACCACCTCGCAGTCTAGGTTGGCGGCATGGAACTCTGCCACGTACAGGTTCTTGTCGATGCTGCCAGGGATAGGCTTGATGTCGGTGACCAGCTGGTCCTCGATGGACTTCAGGTTAAAGCGGTCCTCAGAGGTGATCAGGTTGATGGCCAGGCCCAGGTGACCAAACCTCCCTGAGTGAGACAATACCACAGAGGGATGGAATGTACATGTGGCCATGTTTGCAAAACAGAACATTCAGATATTACAAGATGATAAAAAGCATTGACATAATACCACAAGAAGCACATAAACAACACAAGAAAATGTCCATACCTGATCTTCCAATGCGATGCAGGTATGTCTCGGCGTTCTTGGGGAAGTCGAAGTTGATGACAACATTGACAGCCTGGATGTCAATACCTCTGGTGAACAGATCTGTTTCAAACAGTAAACCAGAAAACTGTTTAATCAACTGTACTACATACCCAAGTAAAATCTGATTATACCAAACAAAATATACAGAAACAATTCATATGGACACGCAGGGCTTTAAATAAAAAAAATGTCATTGGTAGCACTGGTGCTCCCAACTTAAAGTTAAGAGCACAACATAACATTTAGGAGCACCAGAGCATCCCCCCCACAATTTAATGAACTGCTGCTATTTAATAATGCAACACTAGTCACTTTAATTATGTTTACATACTGCTTTACTCATTTCATATGTATATACTGTATATACTGTATTCTATTCTACAGTATTTTAGTCAATGCCACTCCGACATTGGTCGTCCTAATATTTATACATTTCTTCATTCCATTCTTTTACTTTTTTTATTTGTGTGTATTGTTGTGAATTGTTAGATACTACTGCACTGTTGGAGCTAGGAACACAAGCATTTCGCTACACCCGCAATAACATCTGCTAAATATGTGTATGTGACCAATACAATTTGATTTGTTACCCACAAATATGGTATAAGAAAAACAATTATTTTAACGTGGATTTTTACTCATTTTAGACTTTTACTCAAGAAACAGTTCATACAAACACCAGTACCTGGTTCTCCTTCCATATTGAAATCAAGAAGAAGAAAAATAAGGAGAAATAAACCTGTTTACTGCTGTGCAATGTCACATGCATCCATATCAATGAAGACTAGGGTTGGCCAATTTCTATTGTAGATTTTCTCAAATTGAAGTTGGTTCTGGAAGTTTTCTAAGGATGATTACTAGGTTGCATAAACATGATTAGTGCGTTCCCCTCACAATTTTGGCCTTCAAATTTGTTTTCTAAACTAACTAAAGAGAATAAGTTGCTGCTACTGGTCAGAGTCTGGGAGGCAGGCTGCCTCTGACTGAGGAGAGAAACAGGGTTGCTTGAGCCTAATGCCTGAGGTTCAGAGAAACAGCCCATGTCTAATTCTGTAGCCTACTAGAAACCAGATATTTTAAGGTTTATAATACTCCAAATTGAGCCGAATATGACTGTTACCAATTATCACTCGTTTTGAGAAATAGCGCTCACACACGAGATGCACATCTTGTCACTTCGCAATAGAAACTTCCTCCATTTGAAAAAGTATCCTTTTCAATATAATTATTATTTGTGCTTATGAATTTAGCATGTTAAATTTGACTGCATTATTTTATTTGTTCCAAGTTAACAAACCCGCAAATATGTGTGCTAAGAAAAGAGGAGAGAGAGCGAAAGGGGAGATATTGCGCGTTTCTCCATTCACCTTACCAGTCTTGCGCAACTTTTTTTCTCTTCACAAACCTCGGCCTCTGAGGACCGGGCCAAACCAAAAGCATAATTGGAGATGAGGGGGATTCAATCATAAAATAAAGGTAGCATTGTGTGGTGTAGGCCTAAAGCCATAGAAAGCCAGTAGCTGCCTGTCGCTTTACATGTAATAATTTTCAATCAATCAAATTCATCACGGTATATTATTGAGGGGGTGAAATTGACCCGTCTCTAATATTGGGGTTGGGGGTTACGTGCCTGGTACAACCATGAAACTAATGAATATGTGATAGCTTTATTTCTCTAGGGCACTCAGAAACAACGGTAGAGCGAAGCCTAATCATTACAACAATTATCTGGGTGATTTTCTTTTTCTAGGTGCACTGGTGCTCCCAAATTAATATTCCAGGTCGCACAGCTAAATTATTAGAAGCATATGCGACCAAAATGGTCGCACTTTAGAGCCCTGTGGACACGTACCGGTGCAGACAAGATTTCTGCAGAGTCCATTTCTGAAGTCGTGGAACACACGGTTTCTGTACTCCTGTGAGGATTAAAAAAACACTGAATGAGAGCACTGAACACACAACCTCAGAAAAGCATCTCTTCTCATGGCTCCCATAGATTGACTAGTACAAACTCATATATTCCCCATATTTCTGCCCAAAGGTCTGTCTCCTCTCTGGTCAGGTTTTTTCTTGTAGGACAACAAACATGAATCTGAATCATCATTAAATCTGGTATGGTTTGCAGACCCACTAAATATGTTAATAATAACAATAATAATCATAATAATGGGTTGGAACCGGTCCAGGGAACAGAACCAAAAACTGGAAAATAATGACATTTTTGGAGGAACAGAATCAGAACCACGAACAAAAGTAATCTATACTGTTCCGGAACATAACTGTTATTTTAAAACCATGGGAACCGGTTAACAACGTTCCAGGCATTTTCTTCCAGTTCCACAAAAAACACAAAGTTACGCAAAGCCCTCACTCTGTCACTCAGAAACGTATTCCAGTGTCTGCCTGCCAGAAAATCTTTGCCAGTGTGTAGGCAACCTGCCCTTCGACCTCATAAGAATAGTCTAGTAGCCTACTGACATTACAAGCGTGATTCAGAAGTTAGGGAGAGAGATTTTTCATTAGAGAAGAATGGATAAACCTTTTCAATGCTAGTTAAGGATACTATAGTTATCACCTTTCACATTGTATTTACGAACTACAAAAAGGTAAGACGTGTTTTTATTTTAATTCTGGTGCCGCTCTGCACACATAAGCTTGTTAGCTAGCTAGCTGGTCCAACGTTAAGCCAACTTTCTGAAGTTCAAAGATATTAAACGTTTCTTCATAGAAGTCACTCCTCCGTAGGTACAATTATGTGGGCCTAATTATGATGCTTGTCATAACAAGATGCCCAGTGCTTCAAGCCAAGCCTCCTGCACCGCCTCTCGCTCTCTCCCATAGCTTAGTGGGTAAGAGCGTTGTGCCAGTAACCGAAAGGTCGCTGGTTCTAATCCCCGAGCCGACTAGGTGAAAAATCTGTTGATGTGCCCTTGAGCAAGGCACTTAACCCTAATTGCTCCTGTAAGTCGCTCTGGATAAGAGCGTCTGCTAAATGACTAAAATGTAAAATGTAAAATGTCAGTCGCATCTCGCGCCTTACTCACGTCTGTCCAATGCATGTAAATAGCTTGCCCGCTCCATAGCAAGCTGCTCTATGCGCACTGATTGGTGAAGTAATTAATGTCGAGCTACAGTGCCTTCAGAAAGTATTCACACCCCTTGACTTTTTCCAAATGTTGTTGTGTTACAGCCTGAATTTAAAATGTATTAAATTGTGATTTTGTCGTCACTGGCCTACACACAGTACCCCATAATGTCAAAGTGGAATTGTTTTTCGAAATTGTTACAAATTAATTAAAAATGAAAAGCTGAAATGTCTTGAGTCAATAAGTATTCAACCCCTTTGTTATGGCAAGCCTAAATAAGTTCAAGAGTAAAAATTTGCTTAACAAGTCACATAATAAGTTGCATGGACTCACTCTGTGTGCAATAACAGTGTATAACATGATTTTTGAATTACTACCTTATCTCTGTACCCCACACATACAATTATCTGTAAGGTCCGCAGGAGGTTGGTGGCACCATAATTGGGAGTGGAATCAGTGGAATGGTATCAAATACATCAAACACATGGCTTGATGCCATTCCATTTGCTCTGTTCCAGCCATTATTATGAGCCGTCCTCCCCTCAGCTGCCTCCACTGGTAAGGTCCCCCAGTCGAGCAGTAAATGTCAAACACAGATTCAACCACAAAGAGTGAGGCACCTATTGGTAGACGGGGAAGAAAAGAAAAAAAGCAGACATTGAATATTCCTTTGAGCATGGTGAAGTTATTAATTACACTTTGGATGGTGTATCAATACACCCTGTCACTACAAAGATACAGGCATCCTTCCTAACTCAGGTACCGTAGAGGAAGGAAACCGCTCAGGGATTTCAACACGAGGCCAATGGGGACGTTAAAACAGTTACAGTTTAATGGCTGTGATAGGAGAAAACTGAGAATGGATCAACAACATCGTAGTTACTCCACAATACTAACCTAATTGGCAGAGTAAAAAAGAAGCCTGTACAGAATAAAAATATTCCAATACATGCATCCTGTTTGCAACAAGGCACTAAAGAGTAATACAGTAATCCCTCGTTTATCGCGGGGGTTACGTTCCGAAAATGACCCGCGATAAGTGAAATCCGCGAAATAGAAAACTTTTTTTTTTTTACAATTAGCAACTATTACATGTATACAAATACAGTGACTCACGTGTAGGCCGTTTCACTGCTCTTCAGACTGGGCCGCTGCATCCTGACTGCGCTCTGCTGTGTTCTCTTCTTCTGAAGCCCGCGGTGCAGGTGTGTTTGTTCGGGAGAAGAACATAGTGATAGGCAGCTGTTGTCGCTCTTTTTTCTTCTTTGCAAAAAGATCCTTGTACACCGACATGCCACCATCGATTACGTTGGAGAACTGTAATGAACGGCTCATCAAAGGGTCCCATTCCTCAGCTACTCGCTTAAGTTCAGTGGCCATTCGCACCATGGTTGCTAAGCGACCAAGCGTTAGTCCTTCCTCCTCATTGACTGCTGCTGTCGTCCTTATGTTTTTTTCCTCCTTCTTTATGTAACGAACGGAAGATGCATTGATTCCGTAATGGCGAGCAACGGCTGCATAGCTTTTACCTTCCCTTAGCATGTCCAGAAGTTTAACTTTATCTGAGATAGGTAGCATCTTCCGCCGTTTGGGCCCATCCGCAGGTGCTTTTGTCGGTCCAGGCCGTTTCGTCGACATTATGGGTTTAGGAGATGTTCGAAATTACAAGATAATTTGGCCAACTTAATGTAAATTTGCCAAGCTGTTTTATGTACGTACACATAACTGCACGAGACGACAAAATGATAGCACAATTCGTAGGCATGGTTGTACAAGAAGCGGGAGTGAGTTTTTCTACGAATCAGATGCAGAGCACATGCACAAAAAAAAAAATGGCTTTATGAAAATCCGCGAAATAGGAAATCCGCGATAAGTGGAACAGCGGAAGTGGGAGGGATCACTGTACTGCAAAAAATGTGGCAATGCAATTCACTTTTTGTCCTGAATACAAAGTGTTATGTTTGGGGCAAATCCAATGCAAACATTACTGAGTACCACTTTCCATATTTTCAAGCATAGTAGTGGCTGCATCATGTTATAGGTATGCTTGTAATCATTAAGGACTGGGGAGTTTCTCAGGATAAAAAGAAAACGGAATGGACCTAAGCACAGGCAAAATCCTAGAGGAAAACCTGGTTTAGTCCGCTTTCCACCAGTCACTGGGAGATTAATTCACCATTTTGACTTAAATCTGCTCGAAAATCTAGGGCAAGAATTGAAAATGGTTGTCTAGCAATGATCAACAACCAATTTGACAAAGCTTTTAGAGACTTACCCAGAAACACTCACAGCTGCAATCACTGCGTAAGGTGATTCTAACATCCCTGAGTCTAATGTACTGACTCAGGGATGTGAATACTTATGTACATGTTCAATACATTAGCAGAAATCTCCCCCCAAAAAAACATGTTTTCAATTTGTCATTATGGGGTATTGTGCGTAGATGGTTGAGAAAAATAATAAATGTAATCAATTTTGAATTCAGGCTGTAACAACAAAATGTGGAATATGACAAGGGGTTTAGTTTAATTTATTTGCACCAAAGAAAACAAGTGATAGACAACAATACAGATAAAAAAATATAGAACAAATAAAACCGGTGTGCAGGTGTGGTT